ATCTTGCACTGCACATGTTTTAAACAGTACCTGACAATGTAATATAATGGTGTGTCCTGTATGATGTTTATTAATATTCTATATTAATATTTTAATATTACTCTGCATGCTTGAATCATTAAAATGATCTCAATAACTTTGTGATTTTAATTTAATATTCTTTAGGGTAACATCTGTCCAGGGACTACAGATGAAAACTAACTGTGGCACATTTACAGCAGTGTTTATTAATGTGCGCTGCCCCTGTTAAATAAACCAATAAATAAATAAATTCTTAAATAATCAATTGCTCTAGTTTGCCTTCTAAATTATGTCTTCAAATTGCTTGTTTTGTCTGACTGACAGTCCAATACCTAAATATATTCAGTTTATATATACTAGTACACTATAAATACTAGTATACTATACTATACACTATACTATACTGTCTTTTACTATACTATACTACTACTATTGGGGCGGCAGCAGCTCAGTCTATAGGGACTGCACCACAGTATAGAGTGTGGTCTGGGTGTGGACTGTCAGCTGGAGAGGTGCCAGTTCCACCTCCTGTGCACCGCCGAGGTGAGCTTGAGCAAGGCCTAACCCCTACTTGCTCCCTGAGCGCCACTACGTGGCAGCCCGTCACTCCACCATCTGTCCATATTTACATGTCTATAAGCTCTGTGTGTACATGTATTTGTGTGTAAAAACATTGGGTGAAAATAATTTCCTCATCTGGGATTGATAGAGCATTTTTTCTATATTATACTATATTATGGTATACTAAATGAGAAGCAGGGGCATACAAATGTTTGTCATTTTTGTTATGTTATGTTGTGTTATTTATTAATAATCAAAATATTTGCCAAATATTCTTTTGATTGACTAATTGTGTAATTGTTTTAGCTCTAACTTTTAATGGCTGGATTGTAAATAATAAAAAATAAAAAGTGTAAATACTGCACAGGTGTAAATGATACTGTGTCAACCCCTGCACATCTCATACTAGCTTTTCCCACGAGAAGAGAAACAATTAAGTATTAAAAGAACAGCGGCTGATAATCTGGCTGCCACTGGAGCGCAAAGCATTATGTCTTCCTGCAGGAACTCTGAGTGAGGCCAACTATCATTTCCAATGTATGAAACGGATCACAAACTGAACTGCAGTATTAAATGTTACTGACAAGATCAAAGTTAATTAGAAATAGCTCTTCAAAATGATGTACTGGAACAATAATAAGACAATTGGCATATTAGTGATTGTAATCATTTCAGAAACTAAATAAACCTTGCCGTATGTCATCAAGCAGTCATTAATATCTGGAAAGATTATGGCAATGTTGGACATATTTATGCCGCAGACACAAAATGAGGCAGTTTCTCTAATGTGAGTGAATCTGCAGCATGCTGAAATGATGGAGATAACCGTCCCAACATTTTTCATTTCTTCTCAGGCTCCAGGTTTCTGCTGATTACAGCTGCTTTCATTTATTCCAGCTGCTATTAAACCACTTAGCAGCCATGCTTGAGGAACTCTGTTATTCATTCAGTTTTGAGTGCACTACCGTATAGTGTGATGTTTATCGTTATGTATTTTCAGTGACTGTTACAGAACATGCGGTGTGTTTTGTTGTTTGTGAATGAAGTTTGCTACGAACTGAACTGCACTGCTGAGATTACAATGACCTATTACAATTACAAAAGACCAACAGCACCTGAGGCATGCTGTATTCTTGTCCTAATTATTTACACCTTTTTGTAAGTGCAGAATAAATTATTAGGATGTTATATTTTTATGCATAGCAATGCTGGCAGCAGAAGCCAGTTCGTGGGAGTTTCCTCTGGTCGCATAGCAACGCACAGTGAGGTGACTCGCATATTTTAGCATTTGACACCACTGATGTACAATGTGATGCATATCTCCTTGAAGGCATTTCACAGACTCTCCAAAGTCACTTGTGAGTGTATAAGGTTGTTAGGCAGCCATGTTTGAGCCAATAAGCTGCTCTGTGTCTGTTAACTACTGCTTAGTCATCAACCCTGCTGAACATTCACCGACTGTGATGCTCTTTTTCCACCTCAGACCGACTTTGTATTTTAGAGTCTGAATGAGCTTACTGTTTGACTGCCAGCTTCCCCTCAAAGAGACAGAGACAGAAAATGTGTGTGTGTGTGTGTGTGTATAAGAGAGAGGGAGAGAAACACAGAGGGCTGCTGGCATAACTAGGAGGCAGTCACACAGCACAGGCAGGGATTTTAAGAAAGTATCAGTGTGAGAATGACCTTCCCAGTCTGATGCTGCCAGGTTTGGGGAACATGACCACAACTGCTGTGACTTTTTACGACGGGGGGGGGGAATAGAAGAAAAGCACACTTGTCTTCTGCTCATGCAACCCAATGAAACATTGTTTTGTATCACTCTATCACAAGATCAGTCATGACAACTTCTCTTACATGTTTAGCTGTCACTGTCTGACTGGAAGAATACAGTAACTTTGTGTTGATAACAGATGACAAAGAAATTGACATAGATGACCTACTACATATGTAGATATTTAAACAACATTGCTAAATTCACACAAACTGAGGAGGGCTGAAGTACAATGGATGACTCAAGTGTTAAAATAGTCAAAGATTCGATTAGTTGACCGACAACAATTTTTAATAATTGATTACTCTTTTAAGTAATCAAAATCTTTGCTTGATAAAAATTTAAAATCTGAGAGTGCACTCTAAAAAGTACTTGACTGTGAGGAATGCTACATCTGTGAAGCAGCAAAGGACTCCAGACAAGAGACTGAATGAACTCTGGAGACAGACAACATAAACTTTCTGTGGACATCAGACCAGAACCAAGCATAGACTTGGAACCGGTCAAAGTATTCAACAAGGTCCAGAGAAAGATCAAGGAGGACTTAATCCACCGCCAGACATCCTTGAACAGAAGCAGTGGTTATGAGCTTCCACCACATACACTACAACTACCTGTTAACAACTAAACCACCTGCATGACACTGATGAAGGCCATGCAATGTGGCTGAAGGTTTCGTAAAAAACATGCAAATGGCCTTGTGATAAGAATTTTTGATAAACTTATAGTAACTATAGAGGGTATTTTTACTACTCTTGAACAACTTAAAGACTAAACTATACTAACGATTGTTAGTTGCAGCCATACATGGCACACATAATAATGCTTCACTATTAATACCCATGAATAAGCCAAAACATTAATATGTATGTTAGCTTTGTGACATTTGTTGCTGCTTTTACTAAGAATAAATGGCATATTCACATTCACGAACTTGTGCAGTTGTGTGTTTGTGTGAGATTAGAGGCCTTGGAAAGCACCTTTCTGTCTCTGACTTACTGTTGACACTCGGACCTGATAAAGACACTGCAGAGAAGTGATAAGACGAGGCTGGCTGTCCTGTCAGATAAAGACACGGTGCAGACACCAGATGACTTTAATATGAGACTTGAATGACACTTATCAAAACACCGCTTTAACAAAGAATATATGAGCAAACACCTTGTGTTTGTTGCTGCAGAGGCTACTATGCCTTTATCTATACAAGTGGGCAGAAACGAAATGAAAAGATTTTAAAAACCTTCTCTTGACACTTTTATAGCCTTTCTCAGAACAAAATCAGATGCTTTAGTTAACACAAAATAACCAATTTTTTGCATTCTTCTGTTTCCAGAACCTCCTTTTCAAATTAGACTGGTTTTGTGCCTCAATTTCCTTTTGTAAACACTAATTAAAAATGAAAAAGAAACAATGTGACTCTTTGACATTGGTAGAATATTAAAATAGGAAATAACACATTTTATGCATTGCTTCTAGCCTGTCAAACTAAAAATAGCGACAATGTTTGGAGCACACACTAAATTACGCTGGGATTAATTTCAATGAAAGCTCTGCAGATCAGAAAAAGAAAAGCCTGGTCAGTCTTTGTGCCATGTTGTTGGAGAGCTCCAAATCATGTTCATCAGATTCAGAGCCAGCAATAACTTGCATCATCCCACTGTGATTTATATCCAAGCGCTCCTTCTATTTACAGCAGCCGTGGTTTTAACTAGTTCATGAAGCAGCATGGCAGCTTTATGGAGGGGCTGGCCTGAGAGAGCTGCTGCTCCCAGCTGCTCCTGTCTAACTCTCCATTCAGCATGAGGAGCTAACCTGCCCTGGAGGGCACTGGTATACGGAGACAGCAGCGGGACAGATGCTGACCACATCTGGTGGGCGGATACGACTGAGAATTACACCATCAACAGAGAGGCAGAGGTGAAGGAGAACAGAGGAGTGTGTGTGTGTGTGAGTGTTTGTATAGATGACAATGTGTTTTATAAAGGGCAGAGAAAGGAATAGTTACGAGCTATCTGTATTGAGGTCAAGGGTGGAGAAATTGGTATTCAAGGATGTTCAGTGTTTACTTATTTCCTGACGCTACTTTTCATTCCACCCCAGGCCATGTGGACGATAACCTTTGTATAAAAAGAGATTTGATCGTCATAAGAGTCATCAAAACATACATGTGTGAGTTTTCACTTTCATTCTTTGGAGGCACAATAAAAAACCAGGGCTGCAACTAAGGATCGCTTTAAAGATTGAAGGAGGAACTAGGAATGAGAACGGGCTTTGAAGTGTGGAGGAGAAACTACGATGGCCACAAAACTCGCAAAAAAAACAAATCCCTCTACTACCAGTGTTTGGTTTGTCCGTTCTGGGCTACTGTAGAAACATGATGGTCTCAATGGAACCCTTGGATAAAATGTCTCTCAATGATTTCTTTATGCAGGTGATTATAAACTAATGAAAACATACCTATTAATATTATATTCCATTTCTGCCAATAAGTCCTCCTAAATGTTACACACTGGTCAAATTTCTTCTTTTGTCCAACAAACAGTCCAAAACCCAATAGTTTTGCTATTATAGGAAAAAGAAAACAAATATTCACATTTTAAAAGCTGCAACAAGTGATTAGGAATTAAATACTCAGTATCTCACTTACTGTTGTTTGTGAGTAAGCTCCTCCTCCTTGTTCACCAGGTCCTGTTTGAGGTTGGCTAGCATTTCCACAGAGACGTCCACCTGCCGAGAGAGCTCGGAGGCCTTGTCCTCCAGGTCTTGTTTCTCCTGGCTCAGCCTCTCGCTCTCCTGCTTGGCCCGCTCAAGCTCCGAGCTCTTCCTCTCCAGCTCTGCCTGAAGACGACCTACGCGGGCCGCTATTTTCTGCTCCACCTACAAGACAATATAAGTGAATTTAGCTAAATCAGAAATTGTTATGCTGGCCTTGACAATATATCAGTATTAAAACAGCTTGTTTTTTTACTTCTTCTTTTATGTATGTTGGAGTGAGAAAAAACATCAGTGGTCAAATCAGTGGTGCTGTCGTGCCTATTCTAACCCACACACAAAAATTTAAAATGAAAGGAATAAAGAAAGAAATAGCCTAATTCATTCCTTGATTAATGTTATTCACACTATATACTCATTTTGGTCAGCAAAGAACTTCCTGATTATAATTATGCAGCTGCTAAGCTCCTTACAGGCAACATGTTATTCCCATTTTTAGCTGTTCTCCATTGGTTACTGATAAAATGTAAGATTTTTTAAGTGTCACTGATCAGATTTGGTGCATGCCTGAGACGAGCTCATTAATTTTCACTCTGCCGCTGAGCTCGATGTTCTCAAAGCAGACTGAGGATATCAGGAAGAGAGCTGCTGGTTGTTTAATGTCTGACCTATTAGACAGTGCCGTTTTTCCTTCAGGGCTTAGGGACTGTGCAACAACCCTGTGGAAATCAAACTGACAACAAGGAACAACCTATATATATAATGTTACAATCTTTGTGTGTCAGTGCTATCTAAGTATTGTATTTTCTATATTCTTCTTTTAAAGCAACTATGTGGAGGATTTTTTTTTTACATGATTAAGCATCTATCAAGTCACTCTGTTTTTAGACAAGTGTGTTGCTTTAATTTTGTTCATACAACCACTAGTGTACTAAGGTGGGAAATGTTCAAATTAAAGGTAAAGCTTTGTAAATAAAAAGTAAAATAATTTTTAAATTTCCCTTCACCACAACTCTGTAGATACAGAACATAGTAAGTAATCTAAACTGTAAATATATGTATAGTTTGCCTAACTAAGTACATTTAGCCATATTTCTGTATAATGATCCTATTTACCTCTTCAGACAGCTTCTCCAGCCTTTCATCCAGCTCCAGCCGCTCAAACGCCCGTGCCTTCAGCCTGGCCAGGCCTTCCTCATAGGCCGCCTCCACTGCACTGGCCGCTACATTGGCTGCCACTGCTACAGCTGTGCTGGGGTTTCCATGAGGACCTGGGTCTGCGGATGTCATGGCTTTCTTCATAAAAATCTCCCCCAGGGGGAACTCCACATTGGGAATATACCTGGCTGCAGTGTTTGAGTTAGCCGGGGTCAAACTCAGGTCGTCCGCACAGGGAAGCTCACGGCAAGGGAAGCGGCGTTCCTTTAAAGCTGAAGGCCGGAGGGGTTCAAAGGGGTCGTTGTTGTTGGCAGGTGTGAGGAGGGCTCCCTCAGCCACTAGTGGCAGCAGAGCAGCAGCATCACACACACTGTTGGATTTGGAGAGGACGTAGAGGGTCTCGTACGTGTGGTTGTACTCCAGGTGGGCACGTAAGGACGACAGGCTTCGGAAGCGCTTGTGCTCCCCGCAGCGAGGACAGCGGTATGGCAGGTCCAGAGAGGCCATTCCGTGCAGTAACTGCCGGAGGAGAGGGGGCGCTCACGCGGCACAACAGTGGTGCCAGTATGAGGGCACAGAGGTCAAGCACCTGACAGATCGTCTCATGGTGAAATCGGGGCAACTACGGCAAGTCAGTAGGAGGAAGAGAGATCCCATGTGGATCCAATGGAGGCTCAATCACACGACCACACATAGTGGCAACATTCAACTGGTCGTTTCACTTCATCTTTCATGGTTCCCCAGCCTGAGGTCCTAAAAACAGAGCAAGCAAAATACAATATTATATTATTATATTACAATACTTTATACTGTGAATTTAGGTATAACTGGAACATAATTAAGTTAAAACAAAGTTGATGACGAAGAATAATCCTAGTGCAACTACAAAACAGATTCTTCTTACTTCTACTTTTACGGACTCTTATGATTAAAACTTTCTTCTTTCATTTGAGCAGAAAAGTTGAAAAACTGACATGCAGGGAACCATTAAGTCAGTTGTAAACAAAGAAAGAAAGCAGACATATTCACACATTTATATGCAACTGTCATCAAACTGTGAAGAGAAATCTTTCATAAAATTAATTGCGTGATATTAGCATTCTAACACATTTGTAAAATGTGATTATTGGAAGTTCATCACTACATGTTTACTACTCTAGCTGTCTGAACACAGCAGACAGCACAGCCTGCTAAGTCCGAGCTCTCTAAGTAGGAATATTGATCTATAAGTTCAGTGGTCAAGAAACATGAAACCTGTATTTTACTAAGGGTTAAAAAAGTATCCTCACGTGTACCCTGAAATACTCAGGGAGGAAGAGTGTGGAAAAGGAAATGGCTCCATTAGTGAGAGTGCTTGAAAGCGCCAACATCCATATTCTAGTCTGAAGTCTACGAGGTCAGCTGGACAATACTCTCTAAGTCCTTTACAAGGGCATCTGGTAACTCACTCTAAGAAAAAACACTTTCTGCTATCTGAATTGTGTCCTCTTTGTCCAGCCTTTGCCTCTCAAGTTTCTTGTAAACCTTAACTGCTTATATTTTTAATAGTGCGCCAGTAGAAAAGTAAAGAAAGTTTGCATACCAAAAATTAAATAAAGACAAAGTATGTAATTCAGCTATTTCCTTTGGAGAAGTTTCTCAATAACAATGGTCCTTGCTTTCATAATTCACTCATAAGACTGGAGTCTGGTGGCAAAAATATTTTTAAAATATATTGTCATACAACTTAGCGTTTCCATCTGCTACTCATATGCTGAGTAGAGTACAGCAAGAACATTGCATCACTGTTTATCCAATTACCCAGCCCTTGATGCCACTGGTGTAATAAAAAATGCATCATGCCAGCCACAGTTAATTCCATTGCACCAGGCCCTCTAATTAAAGTGAAATTATCTGATTGAGCAAATATTTTTTGATATTTTTTGAAGATCTGGCTAAGAAATCAGAAGAAAACTGCTGAAAACTTGGTGCATAAGCAGCAAAAGCATACCGGCAAAGGTTGGTTAATATCAATACAACATCCTCACACGCTTTTATCACATTATACTCAACAGCAGCTTTATGTTCTGATTGAAAAACGCCTCTTCTGAGAACAGATTCTTTTTATTATTTAAATGAGAACCCTTTTATATGGGCTGCTGTTATATGATATATGTTACAAGGTAAAAGAGCCAGGTCATGTCATGTGGCCTTGACCATTTCTAGCAGTTTGTTGATCTGCTAAACTCATCATACATCATGTTTAGTGTTGCTCAGCCCAATGAAATGAAGATCCTGACTCTCAAGTACTGTTGAATATTGAACATACCTCACCAAAACAAATGACAACAGTATTTGCCTCTTTTTTTAATATATCAGCAGCCCAAACCCTAGCACTACAATGCCACGTGGTCTGCTTATCAAGTGCAGCCCAAATAGTAGAGTGAGCACAGTCTGTGTTTCAACATGGGCCATTTGCGCCCTTACAGCTGTGGCATTGTACAATCCAGGACTAAAGATGAACCAAAACAGACTTTCTATCAGAACTTTGTACAGCAGCTATTGATGAGAGAAGCAGTGGGCACAGACACTGGCGGTGTAATCACAAATCACAGCAGATGCAGCCCGTTCTTCACAGAGGGCTTATACACTGGAAATCCCCAGAAGTCACTGAGACTGTTATTAGACGTCTGGTGAGGCTGGAACAGGGAGTGTACTGGCAAGCCGTGCCCACTTATTAAAGAAGGAGGATCTCACAGACGCAGTCACTACACTGCAGACAGCAGGCGTTCCCATCTGCTTAAAATTACTATGTGAGGTATTTAACCGGGAAGGAAATGGAAGGAAGTGGGGCTGTTTGGTAGCCACATGTCACATCCTGCCAATGGAGCTCAGCTGAGGCATCCCAGAGGACTGCCTTCAGTGTTTTGTTGTGATTGGTGAATAGTGGACGTGTGTGTAGCACATAAAACACAAAGATTCAGACTCCGCTCCATCTGCTGCATATACAATATTTAGGGCTTATAATTTTGGAGCTGACATTTTCTGTATTTATTTTGAATATTTTTTTTTAAATCCAGGTTAAAAATCACATTACAAAAATAACAGTGCAGTGCAACTAGCAATGTGGTTTTATATTGCAGTCATTTATCAAGCAGCTATTTACTGTTTTTTCCAATATTGTGTTTACTTTCTATTAAAGGAAACTATTATTATAAACTAGTATATTTCACCATGAGAAGATGCTGTAAACTGCAGTGAACAGTGTTCAGACAAGCAAACAACAATTCTTTGATCCATGGGAACATGCAAAAGAGAAAATTACTGCATACTGATACTGAGTTTATATGAGCCCAACCCAAAGGTATGAAACCTGAGAACTTGTGGTACTTTTTACTTAGTTTTGCTTAAAAAATGACTAAAACAATCAATTGATTATTAAAATAGTTGCAAATTTCTGAAGAAATTAATCAACTTATCAGTTCAGCTCAACTTTGAACCAAAAACATCTTTATACTTAAAAGTCCAGGTTAGGAGGATCTACTGGCAGAAATGAAATATAATATTCATAGGTATGTATTCATTTGTGTATAATCACCTGAAAATAAGAATTGTTGTGTTTTTGTTACCTAAGAATGAGCTGTTTTTATCTACAGAGGAAGCTGGTCCACTTCTACATAGTCTGCCATCTTGGACCGCTATGTTTCTACAGTAGCCCAGAACGGACAAACCAAACATTGGCTCTAGATAGGGCTTTTGACGTTTTTTCTGTGGCCACTGTAGTTTCTTCTACACACTTGGAACGAGAGCGTGAGGCCAGTAGGTTGTAATCTGCAACTACACTGCTAGATGCCACTAAATCTTACACACTGGTCCTTTAAGCGACAGGCTGCAACAACCAATCAAACAGGGACGCAATTCACAAATGCGAAGAAATTAAATCAAGCAGATCAGATAATAACCTATATACCACATTAGACAACCCTTGGTTTGATACTTGGTAACAAGAACTTTTTCTGCAAAAATCAGTAACAATCAAAAACCATCAGCCTTACCAAACCGAATGTCCCATCTGCCTCCAAGACACCATGGTCTCTACCTTTTAACTGCCAACTGATAAACTGTATGAATTAACACTGATCAGACATACAAGAGGTTCTTTAAGTACAGACAGTTGGTTTGGAAACAGGAAACTCTCAGTAGAAGCGCATCTGCCACAATCCCAAGGCCACATATTGTGAGTCGAGGCACTATTTTAGCTCTATAATAATGTCTCTACAGAGCAGCCACCTGGTGCTATGGCAAAATGACACAGAGAATGGCATAGTATTTTGTATTTAATTATAGTATTTAAAAACGTTTTTAATGCTTAATACGAATATTAAGAAAATACTGTATTAGTACTGATGCTTGAAGGTTTGTCTTTTTAACAAGCTTGCATGCACTGTTGAACACTTCAAATATATATGTACTGTCTATAGTTGTCTCTGACTTACATAAGTCGGGGGCTGATGGGAAAACACAGTCATTAGTAAAGATCTGAATACTGTTACTGCTATAGACCACATTCTTGACTGACATGACAGGCCATTAGAAATATCACCCTAATTGGTTGTTTTATTCCTGTTTCGTAAGTAACCCTATTGTACAGGATTCTAATGGAAAGGTATCTTTTAATGGCTTTTCTCTCATTTTCATTGTCTGTCAATCCAATGCAAGCTTTCAGTTGGTCAAATAAGGCATTAAAGTCAGTCCAACATAAAACAGAAAATGGGCTTCAATTGGACCATGGCTCTTTACAACAAGGTCATGAGTGAGAGGTATGTGAAGGTATCAGGAATAAAAGATTTTTTATACATTGCTGTTTCCATCGGTGCAGTAACCAGAAGTCGAGGGGTGTTTAAAGATAGAGGTTGATCTACAGAGGTTGCCAACTCCCACAGTCAATTTATATTGCACAGAAGGAAGGCTTCAGAACATAAAGTCAAGAGGAGAATCACAGGAGAATATTCCTAAACAGCCAGAGAGACTAAAGGTATAGAAAATTGATAAGAAAGAGCAAGAGTGAAGAGGTGTGGGTGGAAGGAAGATGCATGAATGGGAAAGACCGAGACAGGGAAAGTGTTTCACAGCTATGGGGAGGAGTGTATAAATACTGCAAGAGTTTTACAAATCGTGAAGAAGTAATCGACGGCCAAGAGAGGATAGACGCCGATCCAATATACGTTTTCAAATTGTATGTATTTTGCAAGCGTAAAGCTGGGAAATAATACAGTGTTATAATTTATTATAGGCCCCCTGTTGAGTATCTGACCACTGGAAGGGGTGTGGAGCTATGAGTGGGTTACTGTTTTGTTAGTTTCTCATGCATGTACGAGCACAGTTTCAGGCTTTTACACTGATCTTCAGTTGGTGGCAGTAACATACCAAGACGATTTGCAATGCATTTAATATGTTATTGTTTATATATGATTTATGATTATTTTATTTAGTTTTACATATTTTGATACTGACACTTGAAATGAGAAAGACACTGATCACCAATTGCCGCTGATGCATGACAGCTCCAATACCAGTGGTGTGTGTGTTTGTGTGTTTGTGACTGAGAGGTACATTGTAAAGAGCTGTAGTATAAAAAGCACTATATAAATTCCGTCCATTTACCATTTGATTACATCCATCGCCCAGGACTAATCAAGAACGAATAAGCACAAAATCATAGTTTTGAGACATCAATATGCTGATATGGTTTTCATATAGTGTTACTGAG